TGGACACTACAGAAAATGGGCTAAAAGTGTTAAAAACCGGAATTTTCCTTTAATCAGAGGTTCTGCTGACTTTCTGCAGGTTTTGCAGAACATTTCCTTTTATGATTGATTCGGTCCAGTTGCACCAAACCACATTTTTCCACTTCTGATTTGATGCTTTTCTGATACCAGAGATGTTTGCTTTAATGTTATCAATATTACTGTTGCTTTTTTACTGCTCTCACGTTGTCCCAAAGGGCAACGTGAGATGAGTCTGTGGTCAGAAAAGGAAGCCGTTAAAACAGAAAATTCATCCTGAAAACAAACATCTGTCTGGATTCATTAAAGACAGAATGCTGAAAGATGTTAGTGGAATGCTAACGTTTCTGTCATTCCTTCAACCTTCAGGATGATCCAAGAGGAGAAGGAGAGCACGGCCATCCGAGCGGAGGAGATCGAGTGCAGAGTCGGCAGCGGCGACGGCCTGGGTGGCCGCTTCCGCTCGCTGAGCTCCATCCCACCGTCCCTCTGCGCCGGCTCATCGCTGGGCGGATCGCCGCCCAATTCGGGCCAGTCCACCCCCAGACGCATCCCCCGCAGCCCCAACAGGGAGCTGGACCGGATGGGGGTCATGACCTTGGTAATGTTGCCAACTATCAGCTGTAATTGCATTACATTTTACTTTGTTTCTGTGAAGAATGATTCAGTTTTTATTTCCCATGGTTTATTGACCTGTTTAATCAGTGAGCTGATAATCAAACGTATGTCTGTTAATGACCTCTATGTGACCCTGCCTGTCGCAGTATTGCTATGACCCTTACATCATCCAGAGCTCCCTGTCCCAGCAGACAGTTACTTACCTGCCTTATGGTGCTGCGGGCTTCAGCGCCCCCCCACAGGCCTGTAGCTATGCGCCATATTTCCAGGTACCTGCAGACCATCTGCCTTCAGGCCTTACTGGGTGGGTGCAGCCTGTCACCTTTTCCAGAGGAGGAGTTTATAGCTTGTTGTTTCCGTTAATAAATTACAGCCTCGCTCTGAAAAACATTCCCATTAAACCTGAACTACCTGAAACTGTTGGCAGTTCTCCGGTTCGCCTCACTTTCCGGCCCTGCAGGCAGACTTCAGTGTTTAACATCAACATGCCACGCTTCAGGGCGGCTCTTCTGCAGAACTACGCAAATAGAAGTCCTCACAGCTTTTTCACGTCATTCAGGAATCTCGGATCTGGAGATGATCTTTATCGACTCTGTTGGACGTGTTGTAGGAGAGAGAAACTGCTCTAAGTTCATCCACTCTGAGGAATGAAGTCGGTTTCATTAAGTTTTCCTTGTTGTGTCTGTTGAATTGCTTCTCTTCTGTTAGCAGTTTGTTTGCCAGATAATTAACAGAACATGGAAAAGGTGAACTAGTGTATGTGTGTGTGTGTGTGTATATATATATATATATATATATATATATATACTAGGGGTGTAAATCACATCCATCATGGCGATTCGATTCAGTATCGATTTCCTGACCCAACGATTCGATTATTTTCGATACTCAAGAATACACCACGATACGATTCGATTAATCGGTAAATTTCTTTTTTTTTTTTTTTTTTTTTTTTTTTTTTTTTACACCTTACAGGCTAAACAAAGTTTCAAGTTTTAAATAAATCAATGAAAACTGTAATATCGCTATGCATATTTTTTTTTTTTAAAACAACAGCAAATAACTTAAGTAAAAAAGTTGCATCAAAAAATACTCCAAAAGTACTGCACATAATCAGTGAAATGAAATACCTCGGCTCCAGACGTCCCGCCCCCTCCACAGACGCTCCGCTGCTCCTCTCCCAAATTGTAGCTGACCGCAAACAGTGCTGCAGACAGGAGGCCTGCGAAAACGCTGGGACCCCTTTTCCACCTGGATCTCCGCTCTTTTCGGCCCTCATGTCCCTCCGTCGTCGGACTAAACTCGCCCCCACTTCCTCGCCACCTCGGCCGTATCTAGACCCACAGTGTGTAGCGCAGACCACGCTTCAATATTGAACATAAATCAAAAATGTCTGTGTCAAGCTTACTGCAACACACTGCTGCAGGAGTATAACCAGGAAGCGAGGTAGGAGGGCAAAATAGGTTTAGCGCCACCGCAGCACGGGAGGCAGAATTACGCCCAGGAGCAAATGGATAAAAATAGACCGGAGGAAAAAAGAAACATGACGTGTTGATGCATCGGATCGTCGGCTGTTGGATCGATGCATCGATACAAAACGATTATTATTTACACCCCTAATATATATTCTGCTAAAAAACAATTTAGGAACACTTTGAAAACACATCAGATATTGACTGGGTGATGTGTTAGGAACAAAAGGATGTCACATCATTTGATGTAAATGAAAATTATCAACCAACAAAATTACAGTGAAAAAAATTATGTGGCAGGCTAGTCCATTTTGCTGAAATTTCATTGCAGCAACTCAAAATGGTATTCAATCATTTGTATGGCCCCCACGTGCGTGTATGCATGCCTCACAATATCAGGGCATTCTCCTAATGAGACGACGGATCTCCTCCCAGATCTGGACCAGGGCATCATTGAGCTCCTGGACAATCTGAGGTGCAACCTGGTGGCGTCGGATGGATTGAAACATAATGTCCCAGAGGTGTTCTATTGGATTTAGCTCAGGCGAGCGTGGGGCCAATCAATGGTATCAATTCCTTCATCCTCCAGGAACTGCCTGCATACTTTCGCCACATGAGGCGGGGCATTGTCGTGAACCAGGAGGAACCCAGGACCGACTGCACCAGCATAGGGTCTGACAATGGGTGCAGGGATTTCATCCTGATGCCCAATGGCAGTCAGGGTGCAGTTGTCTAGCCTGTATAGGTCTAAGTGCCCCTCCATGGATAAGCCTCCCCAGACCATCGCTGATAACATTCTTGACGGCTTCTCCAGACCCTTTCACGTCTGTCACATGTGCTCAGGGTGAACCTGCTCTCATATGTGAAAAGCACAGGGCGCCAGTGGCGGACTTGCCAATTCCGGTGTTCTGTGGCAAATGCCAATCGAGTTCCACGGTGCCGGGCAGTGAGCACAGGGCCCCCTAAAGGACGTCGGGCCCTCAGGTCACCCTCATGAAGTCTGTTTCTGATTGTTCGGTCAGAGACACTCACACCAGTGGCGTGCTGGAGGTCATTTTGTAGGGCTCTGGCAGTGCTCCTCCTGCTCCTCCTTGCACAAAGGAGCAGATACCGGTCCTGCTGATGGGTTGTAGACCTTCTACGGCCCTGTCCAGCTCTCCTGGAGTAACTGCCTGTCTCCTGAAATCTCCTCCATGCTCTTGAGATTGTGCTGAGAGACACAGCAAACCTTCTGGCAATGTTACGTATTGATGTGCCATCCTGGAGGAGTTGGACTGCCTGTGCAACCTCTGTAGGGTCCAGGTAGCGCCTCATGCTAACAGAAGTGACAGGGACCCTAGCCAAATGCAAAACTGGTGGAAAAGATTCAGAAAAGATGAGGAGGGGAAAAAATGTCAGTGGCCTCCACCTGTATATCATTCCTGTTTTATGGTCGTCTCGTTGTTGCCCCTCTGGTTCACCTGTTCTTACTTTCATTAACACCAAAGCAGCTGAAACTGATTAACAATCCCCTCTGCTACTTACCTGACCAAATCAATATACCAGAAGTTTGTTATATATATATATATATATATATATGTAAATCCCTTTATTTTCCCACATTAGGTAAATTCACTCTGCATTTAACCCATCCCCATGGGGAGCAGTGTGGGGTTAAGAGTTTTGCTCAAAGACCCAGAGTGCTGGCTGTGGGGATTGAAGCGACTTGCAACCCTCTTAGAACATAAGCGCACTGATCTAACCACTAGGCCAAGACTCCTTGTATGTATATGTATATATGTATATAGATGCATATATAGATATGAATATGTATATACATCTATATACATACATAGCGATGTGTGTGTGTATATATATCATTCTCCATATAATATATCTTATTTAAAGAGCCAAGATACCAATGCCATTGGAAGATCATTTTATTTATCTGATCAATTGGTGGTCAAATATTTAGAATAGTTATTTAGAATACTTTCTTTAGATCCATTTTTTTTAATCCAAGTTGCAGTAAAGTTAAAGGTTGGCAGCTTTAGGAAGTTGGGTTCTCGTTCCTGCCTGTCAGAAAGCTGGAAGTCGGGAACCATTATTGCTCATTAAGTGAATTTTTCCTCTTCCTGTTCCCCTTTTATAGCTCAGTAATGTGTCGCTCAGCCGGCCTCTCTGTGAGCTGAGCGAAGGAAATGAGTGATTAGGTATTTTTTCTCCGGGGGGCATAGAAATGTGGCACGCTGGTGGTTTATTTGCTCTTCTAATGCCGGGTTTGTGAGGAATGTAGGAGGGAAGAAATCCTCCTTGTTTTTTGTTTTTGTTCTTCTTTGTGAGTGGAAATTATTACTGCAGCCGTGACGGCTCGTAAATTCAGCTGCTATTCTTTGCTCACCAAATAACTCGTCGTGCTTTCTGACTAACTTGTGTTCCATTGTCGTCGCCCGAGTCTTTAGACTGAATAACAACTAAAGGAGGTAGGCTGCACCCATCCAACCCATCGGCCTCCTCCTTCAGCGTGGTTTCATACAGTCCTTTCTGTGTGCAGTGCTGCTTCTGGCTTCTGTGTTACACAGAAACAGATTCAGATGCGATTTGGTTGCGTGTTTAACTCTGATCAGAGGTAAAAATAAGGTTTCTTCTTCTGATTTCCTGCCTGTGTGTTTTTATGCATGGCTTGGATCCAGCTCTGATCTGCTGCTCACTAACTGCTCTTCTTCTCTCTCTTTTTTGCCACGCTTCAGCCTAGTGACCTGCGCAAGCATCGCAGGAAGGTAAAATAGCAGCTGCTTTACAGGGCTCATTCCCCCCACCCCACACTCCTGATGTCTCCTCTTCCTGTTCCCTCTCTCATCTCTTTTAAAACAATCACAGTTGGGTTTTAATTCTCCTCCACTCACATCATTTCAGTTCCTATTTTAACTGGTTTACATTTTTAATTTTTTTTTAATATTCATTCAAGAATTCTACACAAATGAAAAGAAAATAAGAGATTCAACAGCAAGAGCAAATCAAATCTGACGAGCCATTAAGTTAAACTTAATGTATACAAAACGAAATTTCATTTTGTACAGCTTTCATGATATTAAGAATAATATATTTAGATTAAAGTAATGTGCAACTGAATTAGGAATTTAATAAATTAGTTTTATGCTTAAAAACACCAGCGGACCATTTAGAAGAATAAAAAATTGTGAAAAAGAAGCACCTACATGATTATCTAGCGATGATTCTAACAGCAGCTGGGAGGAAGGATCTGCAGTAAGGCTCCTTTGTGCACCTAAGGAGCAGCGGACTCACAGGAGCAGCTCTGCTAAAGGTTCCTGCAGTGATGTTTTCCTAGCATCCTTCTGGAAACCTGCTTCCTGCCACCTCCTCCTTTTCAGCAACATCACATAAACTATCTTTGGAATTCCCTCTGAATGGCACCAGCGCCCTCTACAGAGTAATCAGTAGATGTAACATTTAAGCCTCAATTTTGAAAAAGTTTCATTATATTTTAACTCCTGTTTGCCCTAAATTCCTTTCCCTTCAACATTTTAAAAAATTGTTGGGCAAAATATCAAAGGATTAATATGAACAGATTGGATGTAGTGAAGAAGACCAGTGAAGCACGCTGGTTTCTGCTGTAAAACTGATCAATAAGAAAGAAGAACCAGGCATTGTTCCTCGTTTATAAATCCCATCCTGTTTCCATTGAAGGACCTGTTATGTGTGGGATTGCTGTCCTGATCTTTACGGAGCGGTTTCTCTTCACAGTAGTTCACCGCCGCCTGTTCTGGCATCCCTGCAGAATAAAACAGAACCTTCTGATCTTTGTTAAACCTCCGACTGCTGCAGCTTCATTCGTCTCTCTGTGCTCTCATCCTCCAGTCTGCACAGGATGACAAGGCCACCATCAGGTGTGAGACGTCCCCCCCCACCACTCCGCGCTCCATGCGGCTGAACAGGGAAGTAGGACACGCCTCCAGCCATGAAGACATCCGGGACATTCGAGGGTAAGGATAGTTGTCTGATGGACCTCTGCGGTTTGTCCGGTACTTTCAGTGGATCGCCTGATCGCTGTCGTTTGTATAGTTTGGGAAGCTTGCAGGACGGCCAGGGAAGCAACCCCAGCAGCAGCAACAGCAGCCAGGACTCCCTCAACAAAGCGGCCAAGAAGAAGAGCATCAAGTCTTCTATTGGGCGCCTGTTTGGGAAGAAGGAGAAGGGCCGACCCAGCATTCCCGGGAAGGACTCCCCCAGCCAGGGTCAGACCCACAGCGTCACCCAGACCCTCTGATCCTACCTTAATGTGGAGGCTCTTTTGTTAACGGCATGTTTTTCCTTTAGCGGGGACGCCTGATGCAGAGAGCTCTCCAAAGGACGGTCTGGGAATGTCCACATTAGGAGGTCCTTCCGAGAAGAACCGGAAGCTGCAAAAGAAGTGAGTTTGATCTCGGTCTCTGCTACACCAGTAAAGCAGATTGTTGTCAATTCCATCACAGTTTGTAATCAGAAGCTGGTTGTGTTCAGTTAAAGCTGCTTCACTCTCAGTGTCCCACCACCTCACACCCCTCACTCCACACCCACTGTCTGCCTTTGTTGAGTTTGGAGCAGGCACATTGTAGGCACCATAAATGTTGTGGATCAGCATCAGTTCATTCTTTTTTTTGTTTTTGTTTGCCCACCCTTGTTTTTCCACCATCCTCCTCTCATTCCATCTGTAGTCCAAAGACAGGGTAAGTCGGTTCACGTTGCTTTCTCTCACCTTTTCTTCCTCCCATTCTTGGCTGCACATTTACCCCACCAGTAACTCTGCAGGACCCCATACTGCTCCCCCTCTGACTGCCTGATGGTTTTCCTTGCTGCTCTTTTCCCTACCTTTCACGGAGAAGCTTAACTAACAGGATTGCGTGTTTGTGTTGTTCTTAATTTTCCTCTCGGAGCCGAAAATATTGGAAAATTTGAACATTTCTGTGTGAACTTGTTTTAATGTTAACTTCCTGTTGTTGGTGTGATGATGCAGCCCCATCTAGTGGTTGAATATGTTGCTACCGTGTTTGAATTGTGCAGCGGTAGTTCAGACCCCTCTGGGAACAGGTAGAGATGATGCATGCAGACGTATATAGCTGCATTTATTCTCTAACTGTTTCTGAAAAGGGCTTCTCAGTAGGACCGAGGTTCTGATTCCCAGTCAGATTCCACAGCTACCAGTAAAAGGCTGCAGAGGGGGTTTGAGTTAAAGCTGTTCAGTCAAAGCTTCCAGAATGTTCTCCTGGCCTTGGTTCTGAGTCTGCATGTCTTTTCAGGTTTTGGGGGTTTGTGCGTTTGAGCGGTGAAGATGACTGAGTGCATGCTGGGAATTTCAGAGGCTCCTTGTTTCGCTTGAGGATTTAAAATGTGGTGTTAATGCTTTTGTTTTTTTGTGCAACAGGCATGAGCTGCTGGAAGAGGCCCGCAGGCAGGGCCTGCCCTTCGCCCAGTGGGACGGACCCACTGTGGTGGCTTGGTTAGAGGTAGGACAGTTCTGACATTCTTCAAGCCTTTGGTTCCAGTTTGGATTAAAGTTACCTGAAAGTGTATCAACCTTCTCTACAGTAGTAGCCATTCAAAATTGGCTGGTCCTCTACAATTCCTTTTTTAAACATCAATCTTTGTATTAAAATATTCTTTCTCTCATGATTTGTGGACATTAAGATCTAGAAAGAAGCGCCTTTTCCTGGTCAGACCCTGTAATTCAGTGACAGAGTGGAGTCAGGGTAAAAAAATGCACGAACAGAAGAAGAAGACAGTCACTCCAGTGGCTGGAAGTTGTCTGGCGTTTGACTGGGAAGGGCCATTTTGAATGGCTGCTACTGTAGCTGGAACCAGGAGCTGACATGTTCCGCCACTTTAATCTCTGCAGCTTTTTTTTCCCATCAGTCTGACTGACCCTACTGCCCTGTCTCTCTTCCGCCCTCTTGTGGCCAGCTCTGGGTGGGCATGCCTGCCTGGTACGTGGCTGCGTGCAGAGCCAACGTGAAGAGCGGGGCCATCATGTCGGCGCTGTCCGACACGGAGATCCAAAGAGAGATCGGAATCAGCAACCCCCTGCATCGCCTCAAGCTCAGATTGGCCATCCAGGAAATCATGTCCCTCACCAGCCCCTCAGCCCCGCCCACCTCCAGAACGGTACCGCGCTCTCGCCCCCTTCACACATAGAACTGTTGGACATTTTAGGACATTTATCCTCTGGGTGCTCCTCCACACACATCATCACTCACAGCATGTTTTTAATGCAGAAGCACTTTTTAACACGTACTAATGAGCCACGTTTGTATTTTTTTTTTCTAACAATTAACAAGCTATTCTTCCTGGTGTTTTTTTTTTTTTGTCCTTCCTGTCTCGGTTCTGTCCCCCCCCCCCCCTGTTTCCATTCTGCACGCTTCTGGTTGGGGGGTGTCACACGATCAGTCTACAGGAAACGTTTGGGTCACACACGAAGAGATGGAAAGTTTGGCAGCCACACCTCCTACGGTCAGTCCGCCCGGTTAGCGGAGCGCTGCTGCTTCACACATTGCTGCTGACGCCTCGTTTCCAGCAGCCAATCAGAGTCTGAGGAGGCAGCTGGAGGCGGGGCCTCACTCCTTCCTCTCTAGCCTCCAGTCGCTTTGGTTCTTTGCTTTTTCTGGTTAGTTTGTTGTGTTTGTGCCTCATAGTTGCCCAGTTGCTGTATTTTTATTTAATGTTCTTAGTCATCAGATGTTTTCTCTTATATCCCTCATTAACAGATCTGTTAACAGATTTCATGCAACCAGAAGGTTTGATGTTTTCCACCTGTAACTTCTGGCTGTGGGTGTTAAGCAGATAAAGCCCCTTTCAGACATTCATAGGAGCTTCACAAACCGAATGCTGTGAAAGAAAGACGACTTTCCTCAATGACAGACCTGCTTTTAAAACAGCAGCCAGTTTCTTTTCTATAACCTGACTGTTGAATTATAGACTGTGTCTGTAGACTATTCCTCCTCTAAAACAGAAACCATGTTGTTTGGGTCAGAGACGGAGCCTGAAGCTTCATATGACCAGCTAACCTGGTTTACACAATCATTTGGGCTGAATACGTGAAACTCCCGCCGTGTCTGAAAGGGCTTTACTGCTGAGATCTGAGATCATTTAAAAGCTGCTGGTCTATTTCCAGTCAAACTAGAGTAAATTTAGGTTTGTTTGAACCACCTGAACAAACCGATAGGGGTGTAAATCACATCCATCATGGCGAATCGATTCAGTATCGATTTCCTGACCCAACGATTCAATTATTTTCAATACTCAAGAATACACCACGATTCCATTTGATTAATTGGTTCATTTGTTTTTTGTTTTTTTTGTTTTTTTTACACCTTACAGGCTAGACAATGTTTCAAATTTGAAATAAATCAATGAAAGCTGTAATATCGCTATGCATTTTTTTGAGAAACAACCGCAAATAACAGAAGTAGAAAAGTTGCACTCCACCTATTCCTATGATTCCTTTTTTGCTTCAAAAAATCCGCGCCCCCCTCCACAGACGCTCCGCTGCTCCTCTCCCATATTGTAGCTGACCGCAGACAGTGCCGCAGACAGGAGGCCGGCTTGTTTTGTTTTTATGACTGAAATTGCGGAAAAGAACTTGTGAAGTTTGACCCGCTAGAAGAGCGAGGTGCCCGAGAACGCTGGGACCCTTTTTCCACCTGGATCTCCGCTCTTTTTGGCCCTCATGTCCCTCCGTCGTCGGACTAAACTCGCCCCCACTTCCTCACCGCCTCGGCCGTATCTAGACCCACAGCATGTAGCACAGACCACGCTTCAATATTGAGCATAATTTAAAAATATCTGTGTCAAGCTCACTGCAACACTCTGCTGTAAGAGTATAACCAGGAAGCGAGGTAGGAGGGCAAAATACATTTAGCGCCACCGCAGCACGGGAGGGAGAATTACGTCCAGAAGCAAATGGATAAAAATAGACCAGAGGAAAAAAAAATATGAATCGATTATCTTGTGGACGTGTCGATGCATCGGATCGTCGGCTGTTGGATCGATGCATCGATACAAAACGATTATTATTTACACCCCTACCAGCCCAGCTCTTAGATGTGTCTCATGTTCTCTGTTTGCTGCTTTAGAACTAACCTTTTCATTTCTTTTTGTTTGCATTGAACGTTTTTTTCACGTGAAGCTGCTCCAACCCCGTCTGACGCCTCACTAACCCCACGCCTTTCTGTTCTTCTCACCATGCTCACTCTAACCACGCTAACACCAGGAGGATGAGGAGGGCAGCTGGGCCCAGGTTTGCACAAAGATCCCGTTTCTGCTTTAGCACCACTTTAGATAGAACCTGATCAGAGTGGCTGCATCAAATCTGCAGTTTCAGCCATAAATCAGCTGTTTTCACGGTTCTGTTCCTCAGTTACATTGACCTAAAGAAAACATGAAATGATAAACAGCAGGACAAATACAGAAAAGCTTAAAAATCTTTACATTAAATGAAATGAAGTAGAAAGTCGATTATATGTTGTGCAGGACTTTTATACATATAACTCAGTTAAATCTAAATGGTGTGCTGCACCGATTTTTCCGGCCCCTGATATCTTTGGCAGTTTTTTTCATTTTTTATTTTCTATATAACTTCAGGTTAAAAAAAATGCATTATTCAAATAAAAGAGACTCAGACACAGGAGATTTCATTCACAGATTCATGCATGCTAGTAGAAGGATAACAAACACGAACTTATCGACCGTTACAAGAAAAAAAATTATCAGCCCAAAATATCTGCTAGCTCTGACGGACTATTAGGGCTAGGCTAGATAATCTTTTTTTTTTTAAACAGGATAATAAAATCCTAATATTATAAGAATAAAGTCGTATTTTATAACAACATTTACCGGAAGCTCCAGCTTCCCTAAAATAAGAAATGTCGAGCATCTTGTAAAGTTATAATTTGGCATCGTTTTAACAAATAAGGAAATATTAAGTCTTTTAGCATTAAATTATTAATATCAGTATCAGAACTTTAAAACTGGAAGCTGTCTTTCTGACATGGGCTGTGGTATGATGACTTTATTCTCGTCATTTTTCAACTTTATTCTCGTAATTTACGATTTTATTCTCGTATTTAAACTAAATGAATCTGTAGCCTGGCTCTGTGGTACCTGGCCAGTGTGTCGGTTCAGCTCTGATAGCCATCGCTATATTTAATGTTTTTATTGCAGATCAAACAGGCAGAGATCACCAACCAAAGTATGATGTCAGTATAAATATACAGCTAAATGTTTGCTTTTTTTTCCTGTTTCAGACTTTACGGTAGTTTTAAGAACAAGTTAAATCTTAGTCTAAGACGACACAGGTAAACAATGCGTTCTTTTTAAGTGGAGATTTTTCTTCTATTAAAGGAGAATAAACTCCATACCTGTATGACCCCTCATAGGAAGGGACTGGCTCCTAAAGCTAAGAGGCCAGGGGACAGACTCCGCATCATCAACGGGGTCAAAGTTCATGAAAAACTTGCTCTCATCTTTGCAGAATTGTTTGTAATTCAGGCTAAAATGAAGGATTTCCAGGAAAAATGACCGTTTTAAGGTCATGGCAGAGTATCTCAGTAAGATTCAGGTCAGGACTTTGACTAGGCCATGGCAAAGTCTTTATTTTGTTTTTTCTTCAGCCATTTAGAGGCGAACTATTGGTCACCAACAGATGAGCAGGATGCTATCATCCAGGAACTTTTGGTAGGCAGCAAAATTCATCCCAGCAAGTTTTCATGCTGCATTTTCTGTTTACTTCTGTCGTCTTTGACTAATATTATAATTTACTTGATGTTCTGAAACTCTTTGTGTGGCAAACATGGAAATAGAAAATGAAGAGGATGATAGATACCCCATTTACACTACCCTT